GCCCTCCATATTTGGAGGAGTTGAGAACTTCGAAAGTCCTCGTATGTGCTCCAATACTAGGGGAACCCAGCGCAAGTGGGGTTGCATTACCAGCTTGATAATCCATTTTGATTGGAGTGCCTTAATCTGCTGTTCGGGATCCAGGATGCCCAGTCCCCCCGATTCTTTGTTTGTGTTACTTGTTTCCAGGCAACCTTGGAAATGAAGTTATCCTTGGTCGGGTTCCCTATCCACAGATAGGCTGCTGCAACCCTTCGGAGCCTTCAAAGTGTTGATCCTGGGGGTGACCAGAGGGTGCCCGCATACCATAGCATGGAGAAGATGGAGGCATTGAGGACCAAGGCTCTCCCGTACAGGGAGGTATTAATGGTAGACCATGCGTCCTACTTTGCTAGCATTTTGGTCATTTGATCAGGGGCCATGGAGTGATGGGGGCCCTCGTCCGCTAGCCTAATCCCCAGATACCTCAACGGTTGGTGTGGGGGTAGCCACTCCATTCCCCCATGGTCAGGGGGTTGGGGCTGCTGTTGCTGCTGGTCATATATAAGCCACCATCCTATTGTTTTAGGCCAGTTAATTCTCATTTCCGATGCTAACTGGAATGCTTCCATCGCTTTTGTGAGTGCTTGAAAAGAGGAAACTGTGGCCCTGATGAGTACTGTGAGATCATCCGCGAATAGTATCGTGGTGGGTAATTCTATTATACGCCCCTGCTGTTCCAGTTCTGCTATTAGACGGTCGATTGAAGGGTCTTTCCTAAGGAATGAAGCTATGGCTTCCATGATAAGGAGAAAGATGGGGGCGGATAATGGGTCACCTTGCCTCACTGATCTAGTCATTTTGTATCTATTTGAAAGATATCCGTTGATTTGTACCTGGCCGTGTGAATCGTTGTATAATACTCTCACCCACTTGCGAAAGTTGGGACCTACTCCCATTTTCTCCATACATTGCTGTAGAAAAGGCCAGCTGACCTGGTCATATGCTTTTTCGAAGTCAAAGAAGAGGATAGCCGCGTTCATTCTTTTGTTCGCTATGAATCTCACCGATCCGATAAAGTCATCACGTTATCCAGGATGAATCTCCCTGGGATAAAGCCTGTTTGATCCAAGTGGAAGTAGTTGGCCGTTAGCCTCCTCAAGCGGTTCGCTAATGCTTTGGCCACTATCTTGTGTGTTAGTGTCAGGAGTGTAATCGGTCTGTAGTTTCTAATGTCCCTAGGGTTTCCCTTCTTATACACTAAGGTGACTACCCCTGTTGATGATTCTGCTCCCATGCCTTCATTGATCCATGCCTGGTTCAAGAAGGTTTCGTATTACCCACCCAGGATTTTCCAATACTCCTGCCAGAACTCCCTTGTCAGTCCATCCCTGCCCGGCGTTTTGTTTGGAGGCATTGTATCTAAAGCCACTCTCAGCTCTTCTTGCGAAAGCGGGGCGTCTAGCATTTCTGCCTGGACCCCATTCAGCGTGCGGTCCAGGTAGGCTAGGAATTTATTCCGAACTTCCTTTACCTGTATTGGACCCTGGTCCCCTTCTCTAGACCTATAGAGTGAGGTGTAGAAGCTACTGGCTACCGACAACAAACCTTTGGGATCTGACACTATTCCCTGAGGGCCTTCCAGCTGTTCTATTTGCGAATTCCTACCTCTGGTTTTAATCTTTTGAAAGAAATACTTTGTCATTCGTTCTCCTTCTTCCCATTCTTTTACTCTTGCTCTCAACTGCATACCCCTAGCCCTCCAGCGTTTCCAGTCCCCTAACTCCCTTCTTGCCTCCTCTATTGTGGTTTCGTATAATTCCGTTCCCGGGTTGCTGATTAGGTTCCTCTCTGCTATACGTAGGGCTTGCCGAAGTTCCTGTTCCCTAGATTTCCTTTTGGCTGCTAAATGCCTGGCCACTGCTGACGATGCTTGCGTTAGTGCATTGATTAAATTAGGGAACGACTGTGAGTCGCTGTCGTGGTCCAAGCATACCTGTAGTATGGCCTTTCTTAGCTCTAGAGTTCTTAGCAGGGAATTGTTTATCTTGTAGAAACTTCTGCCCCTCTGGATATGTTTATTTAGGGTCAGCTCTAGCGTCACCGGTTTGTGGTCTAGACATGTGCAGTGCGGCAGATCACCTATTTCGATCGAGTGAATAGATCCTATCAGCTCTTCCAATACTAGGAAGTAATCTATTCTAGAGGCTGACATGTGCTGGCTGCGATTCCTTTTGTAGTAGGTGTATTGTTTCTGGTTTGGGTAGTGGAGGCGAAAGGGGTCAATAAGCCCCTGGGCTATCATGAGTGCGTGAATTGGTAAGGCCTCTTCACCCGGAGGCTCATCCCCTGATCCTGATCTTCCCCCCATTATCCTATCTAAACCTGGGTCAAGAGTGGCATTCCARTCACCTGCCAGTATGACATGTCTCGTTGCCTCCAAGTGGGCTTGTATTGATTGAAGCATTTCTGCTCTACTCTGGTAGGAGTTGTGGCAATAGATTGTGACTAACGAGAATTGTTCCTCCTGATAAGTGAAGTTGAGCTTCACCCATCTACCCTCCTCCTCATCCGTCGAGGCTTCTAACAGAGACAACTTGTTTGCTGCCGCCGACCTCCTATTCAACAGAATTACCACCCCTGCTGAGTGCGGTCTATTTGCCACAACCCAAAAACTAGCCTTCACCCATCTGAGTTGCTTTTCTATACGTTGCTGCGTCTTTTGATGTGCCGGCGAGGCAGTGAGGTGGGTTTCTTGAAGACATAAAAAATCTGGGGGGTTCCTCCCGAACCAATCTGTGACCCTTAATAAATTATTTCATTTATCCTTATTGTCTAAAATCTGTGCCATGCCATTAACGTTCCAAGACACAATTCTGATTTCCGGTTCCCTTCCCCCCTCTCGTGACGATAATCTTCTTCTCTTGGTTCTATCCTCCATCACTACCCCTGCTATTTATATTATTCCTTGAATATGGTCCACTAACGAGCTTTTCTTCACGAGCCCTCTTGTGGCCACTCCCAATCAGCCGCCACGTCTGCTAACCAAGTGTCCATGCCCTCTGGCGTCCCCGAGAAAACATCTGTCTTGGTGAGGATCGCTGCTCCCCTAGCCACCCATTCCGCTGCCTCTGTGCCTCCCAATAGTCCGTATGGTATTGCCTCCACCACTTGCCAAGACATCCATATTAATCCCTCCGCCAGCTTTGCCTTCTCTTGCATTCTGAGTAGAATGGGCCTGTAGTCAACTGTTTGCATCCCACCTGCCGTGTCCTCCCACTCCTCCCGATCTTGGGAAAGGCTCCCTACCACCTGAGCCCTGTCCGGGAGATCTCCTGAGATCTGTTCCTTGAGCCTTTCCTGTGAGCAGTGACTGTCCTTTGTAACGATTAGGGCCAATGTCTTGTGTATGGCCACCTCCCAGTCCGAGTWTCCGYTGTTCCAKSGGTAYGGTATGATGACTCTCCTCCYCGGATTGTGCCTTGCGAAGAGCTTGGCTGCTGCGTTTATGTCAGCCTGTGGAGAGTAGGCTATTTTTAGCAGATTGATGGTATCCTCTTCCAATTCCGTGTTTTGATCCTTGAGGACATTGATTTGTGCCTTCAGGATTGCTGCTTGTCTCATCTCCTCCTCGATCTGCTCCTTTTCCTCCGTCCCTTGGGCTGGGCTTTCTGATTCTTGCTGCGCTTTCCTTTTTTGCTCTGACCTTTTCAATCCCTGAGGATGGTACGTTTTGGGCCATGTGAACTGCTTGGCGTAGTTCCCGTTGTGTACCAAAATGTCGTTGTTGTTTGGGTGGGCCTTCCAAGCATACTGTGATGCGTAGAACTCATTGACCTCCTGCTCTTTCCTCAACCATTTAAATCTGTTTGTTGAGGTAATATCATCCCCAGCTGAAGTAGCCTGCTTCAGGTTGCGTAGATGCTTATGATGTGCCAGACGTACTTCACATTCGACGTGTCTTTCCCACTTCAGCTTGTGTACCGTTCTGATCCACTGGCCTAGCATTTCCAGTTCCTCCTCCTCCTTCGCATCCTCCCATTCCTCCCCTTCAGTGTCTTCTCCTGTGTATTCTCCTGTGTCTTCCCCTGAGTCCTGTGACATTCTAACATCCTCCCCGCTATCCATATCTCCTTTTGAGTCCTTCGGTGGATCTGCCCTTACGTTTTCCCCGCTGTCCATCCTTGCTCTGCTTGATGGGCTGTTACCTGCTGATGGTGAGCCTGGGCGTGTGTGTTGATCCGAAGAAGAAGATGACGAATCCTCTGCCTCTTCTGCCTCCGATGGAGTTATGTCCATCCCCTCACCCTGTGCCTTAGCCTCCCCTTGTCCCTCTTCTCTCGTGCCCGATCCATGGACTTGGCCCTGCGACACTGAAGCTTCCTCTTCCCTCTTGCCCGTATGAGATCTTTTTGTGTCGTGGCTCGCAATACCTCCCGTAGATGTTTCTCTGTCACTCATCTTCCTTTTGAATGCCCCCTGTGAATCCCCCTCCTCTCTTGCCTTGCTGATCCTTGTCTCTCCTGTCCCCTCCCCGCGCAGTCCCTCACTTTGACTCGAGGTTTTGTTGCCCCCCACTTCTTCTTCTTCCTCTCTCCCCTTGCCCCCCTCCGCTGATTTCTCAGCCTCCTCCCTCGCTCTTTTGTTCTCTAACAAGGCCATTTCAGCTTCTTGCGCCAGCTTATGCAGTTCGGCCATGGTCTGCAAACGCTGTTTGTCATCCAGAACTGTGTCCTCGTCTATCATCGGTTTGTGGATGTATCCCACATCTTTGTCCTCCATACGCTTTGCCCCTGCAAGTCTCCAGCAGCTATTGTAAGGTGGGTAGATGTCTGGCTTCAGCGTGGGTGTACCGCTCAGGACCCATATCCATCTTGGCTTCTCCAGATTGTCGTCGAAGATCCAACCTCTGTATTGTGCTGAGTTAATGTACCAAACCCCTGGCTTGTTGTCCGCCTCGACTAACATTGATTGTCTTAGTTGTGGTTGCCTCCCCCCCGAACCTGCGTTCGAACCAGTACTTGATTGTGGGCAATGCATTCCCAAGTGTCCTCTTGCTCTGCACTTGAAGCAGAATGGATTGGATTTAGAGGATATGAACACCGTGATGCGTTCCGTCCTTCTTCTGAAGATCCATACCTCGGGGAATTTCGGCGGCGCCCCGGATTTCACTTCCAGGCATGCGACCCTGGAATCGTGGTTTGGTGCCAGAAAGTCGGGATTTGCCGGGAGCCACTCTATGATGGGGTTGTTGGGGTATTCTTCCTTCAGGCGCTGCTGCACGAGGCTGTGCATCCCTTCTGAGAGGTTGTCAAACTGCACCCAGAAGTTGTCCCTCATCATTGACTGCCTGTGCCTTGAAGCCTCCGCTGGTGGCGGCTGTGGTGGTTTCCATGCTTGGATCGTCACCACCGACCCGTGGCACCTGAGGGAACCCAACGATCGCAGGTATTAATCGTACGCCGGATCCACGCAGACTATCATGACCGTGAATCTTCCTCGCTTGTGATATGAGACTTCTGGTTCAATCCCTGGAATGTTCTCTAGCCCCCTGAGTCTCTCCATTACCCATTTCCTTTTTTCGTTCAATGACAGCTCACGATTCTTGCCCGAGAAGTTGAATAGCACTGCGTGCCTTTCGTAGAGTTCATGAAGCGTCTGCAGATCTT